CACAATAGTCAATGACTTCTGTATTTATCCAGGGAGAAAATATATATACTGAACACACACACACACACCCCTGGGTCTTTTACATGTTCTTTTTCCCCCCTCTCCCTCCATCTCTCTACCTTTCTTTCCTGTCTGTTCATTTTTGGTGCATCAGGACTACAGAACAAGTGAAATTTCTCTGTTTTCTGTTGTAAGTACTCATTTCCTTTCTTTTTCTTGTGTTCCTCTTTGGGTTTTGGTGTTTTTGTTGATCTTTTCTCTCCCTCCCCCCCTCTCTCTTCACTGCATGCAGCTTCCTCGCCTATTTTTGTCTGTCTCTTGTCTCCAGCCTCCTCTTAGAAGACCATAATTTCACCTGGCAGCTTAGCTTTGCAGCAGAATGAGGCCTGGGAGATGGCTGGGCTGGCTGTTGTGGCATGCTTGCTTTCTATGGGTTTCCAAGGCATAACAAATTCTGTGCATTTGCTGTGTGCTCCCCCCCCCCCGCTCCCCCCCCAAAACACATTATGGCTCTTCTTTCATTCCAAAGCCAAGAATTCGTTTTTGGTTAGCCCACCTTTTTCAGAAACAAATGTCTGGGTCTTCAGTAAAAAAGCCACATAGTTTCAGAGATCATGGCCCTTCACAGTCTCTAGTGGGGAGCTTCAGCTAGCTCTTATCTTCCACATTGCAGAAATGGAAAACCTACAGAACTAGGCACGGTAAAAGTTTCCCCAGAACAGAGTGGGAAGGATGTGGTCCTCCAGTCCCAGGTGTCATGGCCAACAGCATAGGGAGTGACACCAGTTATCCACCCTGCCATCTGAAGAGAGGCTGTAATAGGCGCCTTTTCTTGCTTTAGGAAAAAGGAGAGCCTGGGGCAGCACTTGGGGAACCTTCTTCATCCCAAGGGCCGCCTTCTCTTCTGGGCAACGTTCTGGGGGCCGCCTGCTAGCAGTAGGCAGGGATCAAGGCAGAAGTGGGCGGAGGAAGGACTGCCATGTTGATCTTTGTTTATAGGGCCAGTTTCCACACACAGCTGGGAAGCAAGAGGCATCGCTGCCGCTCCGGGACACCTTTGCCAGAGAGGGGTGTGGTCTACAGGGAGGGGCGTGGCCACAGAGGCCACACTGGGCTCCTGGGCCTGAGTTTCCCCACTCCTGGTATAAGGCCAAGGCATAGATCCTCTATTAAAAGCTGCACAATCCTGATGGAGATTTTTCCCATCACATTGGATGGATGGGCAGTTTCAGGGCAAACCAAAGTCAAGTCTTCTTGCTGTGGCAAGATGACTGTGAGGGCTAGCAGCTTAGAAAGGGGGATTAGATGCCTATGGGGTGGGTCTTGCTGCATGGCGCCTCCGTGGTCAGAGGCAGCTTCTGGGCAGCTGTGGCGAGAGGGGG